GAGCTTTCATTTCAAATTAAAAGTTCTGAAATAAATCCCACTGAAATAAAATCACAAATTATTTGGGGTAGTAGTAATGATATCTAGTAATTATTAGTAATAATGATATGTTACCATTACTACTATCATTCACCAGCATGGGGAGGGAGTTCCCTACAAAACACTTATAGCTATTGAAAAACACAGCTTCCCAGCAAAAAGTTTCCTCCACACAGAGGGAAGAGCCCATATGTGTGAGTGCATGGATGGCTACTCAAGGAACAACAGTTACAGGTAAGCAATTTGCCTTTCACCTGAAAAGAAGAAAGAAGTAGAAAAGTAAGAATGGATTCAAGGAAAATGGAATTAGAATATCACTGGAGTGATAGAGATAGAATGAAAGAGCATTAAAAAGTGTATAGGGAAATGTATTGTCCAAAGCAAGAAATGGCGCTGAGGAACTAGAACAAGAGGGAAATATGATATGAATGTTTAGGTTATGACTCACTTAAAATGAGGAGGTGGAAGCAGTTTCTGAATTGAATTGTAAATGTAAAGGCATTAAAGAACAATTGTAGAATACTGAGTAATATTGCAAGAACATCACTGTATATTTAGTTTGGAGATACATTTAACACTGCAAAAGTTTTGTCAAGGAACAGGACAAATGTCATTGCTGTGAAAGTTTTGAAGAGTAGAAATCTATTAAAGAGGTACAATAATATTTAACCAGGATATATATGTGGCACTTGATATCTCGTAGAAAAATGGCAGAAAATTAACAATACTGAAGGAAATAGGTATGGATGTCTAAACATAATGTGAGGGTAAATAAAGAACATTAGCTATGACTCAGCAGTACCAGATAAAGTGTTTAAACACTATGAAGTGTTTAATGTTGCGACTACAATGGCATCCTTGAGTAATTTAGCAAAAGCGCATCCATCTATGCTCTGTACTTCTACAGCCATAAGGAATCACTGGATCACAGTCTCTGTCTATAGAGATTACAGAATTTGGAGATAGTTTTTTTCTGTTTTCCTGCATTGCCAATTCTTCACATCTAGTGGCTTGCCTTTGCAGGAAAGGGAATGTAAGCTCCATGTCTGTGTTAATTTGTGTACAATAACTTGTGCTGCTGCAGCAAAATCCAGTTCCAGATCCAGTTCTAAAATCCAGATTGAGGTGTTATATCTGTTAATGCCGCGGGCCCATAAAAGCCCAGTGTTCCTTAATATGCAGGAGAAATCCAGGCATGCAACAGTAATTAACCATAGAAAACATGATTTTAGTGAAGTCTAGTTGTCAACTAGGTAACACAACCAAAACTAGAAAATGGAAAGTTGATTTTAAATTTATAGTAAAATTATGTATAGATTCATTGTTTAAGGCTAGGTGAAAACCCTGAGGAATATATGATTGCGTTTCTTTTTACCTGGAATGGAAGAAGAACAGTATTCCCCGGGGAGTGGGCACCTACTGTATTTGTGAATTCAACATATGAGAGAGGAATCTGATCCAATTATTGCTCAACATTTTAAAAACTAGAACAGTAGAACAAGCAATAGTGGCAGCAGCATGTTCCATATATTTGTATGTAAGTATGTAATAGTTGTTAATATTAGTAACTTCAAAAGGCAGAGCAAGGGCTTCTGCAGTAAACTGGATTGGATTTCAGTAAATAAGTGTGGCCTCTGTACATACATCAGTGTGCTGCTCTCACTGAATGCCCTTCCTTCTCCTTCTCTTTGCTACTGGCATGCAAGGGCACATGACTCCCAGGGGATACAGACGAAAAATACTGGTGTCAGAACAAATTTGGGATTCAGTCAATATCTGAATGGCCATGCATTAAATAGAAGTGTTTTGAATTTATCATCATTTCATTTTGTCCAAAACTAGAGTTACAGGTCATACGATAAAAGATAGAGGAGGTTTATCTGGTTTGTTTCAAGCTCTTTTCAGATTTTCTATGTTTCCTGCTACAAGATTGCTTTGTACATTGATCCCTTTTGGAGAAACCCAACTGTGATCCTCTGCCTAATGCTAAACACCATATTCCCACGTTTTAAGTTAGTCATGTTACAACATGCTGCATTGTGAACTGTGAATACACATTTGCTTTTTGTCTATGTAAAGAATGCTTTATCTGTTTTTCTAACACCAGGTTTGTTGTTTAATTTTATTCTTATTTTATTTCTGTACTACTCAACATCCAGAACTCTGTTTTTCATGGTGGAGGTGCAGATATGTATTTTATAATATATGGAGGGCAGTAGAAGAGTATTTTACATTGTGGGTACAGAATAGAGGAGCCAATATGTCAATTTTGTGATCTTTTCCTGGCAGACTAAGGAATAGTCTCATTGGTTTTCATATGATGTAAACTACATGTTTTTCCCAGGAACCTCAAAACTTTTCTTTTCTATTAGAAAAAAAAAAATATGGCATGGCTTCCCTGGTTTCTACCGCTGTAGAAGGCAAACTGTGTGTTTGGATGTTGCCCCCAGACTCATTGTCTCCAGAAAACTAGCCTGTGAGGAAATGATGTGGCTCTTAAATTTGTTATGTGGTTGCACCACTTACTTTTTACATAAAATGATCCAATTTGCAAATCTCTTTTCAGGGGGGTTTTCCCTCTTGAGTTGCCGTGTGGCTCAGTAATCTTAGCCAGTTCTGTAGCTTGAATATATACCTTAAATTCCATTTTAGGGCAGTAGGAATTGTAATCTATTATACGGTCTTCCAAAGTCCTCATTTTGGGAGCATTCATTCTTCTTTTTTCAATAATAAAAAGTTACTTTCTGCAATATTACTCATATCCTTCCTTAGGATGGGTTTATCTAGTCGAGATGATGTACTGGATTTTATATTAGGCTGGAAGCCTCCTATGACTGCTTCATTGGAAGCTTAATCTTAAATTAGCAAGGACACCTTGTTTGTTTGTTTGTTCATTTATTTATTTAAAACATTTATATCCCATCTTATATGAAAATCATCACAGGACAGCTTACAAGAATTAAAACAATAAATTAAAGCAATAAATAAATAAATGAATGAATGAATGACAACGTACATAATACCAACAAAAACAAAATGTGACTGTGAATATTAAAACCAATTAAAATCCCTAATCCTTAAAATAGTGCATAAATAAAAAGGTTTTCACCTGGCACTGAAAGGAATATAAAGTTGGCTCTAGGCAAACCGCTCTGGGGAACGCATTTAGGCTGTAATCTGATGTATACTTATATAGGAGATCAGCAGTACTTGCTTCTGAGTAGACATGCATAGAATCAATCTCCCCACCTCTCTCCCTCTCCCTCTCCCTCTCTCTCTCTCTCTAAATATATATTCCTGATTTGGGGATGTGTGGGGAATAATGTCTGTCTGCACAAGCTTTGAGTGGCGGATGGTGGAGAATGGGTGTTTAAAATGACAGTAAAGACTTTGTAAAAGTGCTATATCCATGTTGAGGTTCTTTTGGGGGAGGGGTTGGCATATCATTTTAATAGCTTGTCAAGCATTTAATATATCTAAAGGGGCATTTGTGGGAAAAGACTGCTAAAAGCCTATTGTATTGACATGGCAAACTCTGCGGGATACCACAAATTGGGGGATGAATATAATTAAAGCCTTGTTTGAATGTAGCGATGCTTATGATTGGGGACAGAGAATACGTCACATTCCTTCAGCTCTGTTCTTCATGATGCCCATTTTAGGAAAACTGGTAAAGGGTGAAATTCTACTGAATTGGTATCTTGATTATCTGTCTGGCTTTCATTTATATCATCAAAGTTTTTATTTCTGAAACCTACCCTACTCTCCCAAGGACTGTTAGGCCAGTGGTAAAACATAACTGGCATCTCCAGGTAGTGGGGTGAGAAAAGCTCCTAACTGAAACCCTGGAAAGCTGCTGCCAAATCAGTGTAGATAGTACCAACCTAGATTGATCAGGAATCTGACTCATGACCTGTTTAGAGTAATTTGTTGGATTTTCCCCTCATACGACCTAGGATTGAATGACACAACAAAATGTTCCTGACTAGGTAAATAGACCACTGTGCTTGAATGAACTGGTCCAAAGAAGACAGGTTCTTATGTCCCAACAGGCTACTGAAGCATCTCAGAATGAATTAAGTTTGAAGCCAGCAAGATAGAAAATATGAAATTAAAGTTAAAAATAATATATGAAGCAATGATCCAGTAAGCCATTTTGTTCAGTAAGCATCTAAAATGGAGTCTTGTGGCAATCCTCAGTCTTGACATTTGCTACAGAAGTTTCGCTAAACTGCAAGGTTTGCTATTTGACTGCTGTTTTAGGGGTGGGGCAGACAGCCATTATTCCTGCTCTTGCTGACAAAGGACACACTTATTAAATAATAAAGCCAAGCTGCCACCTGTACAGCAGCATTCACAATACATGGACATTTGGCTCAGATGGCATGGCCCATTGTACATCTTTCAGAATGGTGAGCAAATAGGGATTGGTCCTGAAGTAATAACGTGGAGGTTGAAAATTGAGTGCTTCTATGGTACTAACATTTGTCATTATAGTACAATGAAGAAGGCAATCTACAGCTGTAAATAGAAACCATATTAACTGGCTATACATTCTTATATTAAGAACAGGTTTGTACAGATCTGCTTTCAAATTCTGCTGTTTTGGTGTCTGTTTTCATCTTTTAAAAAGCTTTGTTCCTATATCATGTGGAAGGAAACCTAGTGTCTAAGCTTAATAGACTGTGTCTCTGTAGTTCAGTAAATAGGATTTTAGGAGCTTTTTGATCTTGAAACCTTGATTTGGTCACCTGTTCTACACATTAAAGATGCTAAAGAAATGTGTATGGATAGCTTCCAGGAAACAAGTGTGTTTGCTTCTTTTGGGAGTTGTTCGACAATAGATGAGAACTTACTTGGATTGGAGCAGATTTTTTTGCCCTTGAAATGATGTTTGTTTTATGTTCTTTTTACTTTTTTCAGTGATATATTGAATGTTGTTTTTGTTTTTCACTCTCTAGGGTAACCAGGAGCCAACAGCCACTCCTGACACAATGGTCCAGCCATTCACCACAATCCCATTCCCACCTCCCCCACAGAATGGGATCCCCACAGAGTATGGGGTACCCCACACTCAGGACTATGCAGGCCAGACCAGCGAGCACAATCTGACAATCTATGGAAGTACCCAGGCTCATGGAGAGCAGAACACGAATACTGCCACCACACAGAATGGATCTCTTACGGTATGCAGATCAAGGAATATAATTGAGGAGTACATTGTTATTTATTTCATAGCTGATTGCCTGAACTCTGACATTGTATTTTTCAAGTAGCATTTTTAGGATTTCTTGTGACAAAAAATAGAAACACAGGGTGGGAGGAGCACCTTTTGCATCCCTAAATGCCCCCTCACCCTACCCAGATAAAGGTTGTAACTGGAGGAGTGAATTGTTCTCATCACTGTCAAGAGAATTGGGATAAGCAGACTCATCTGAGTCTAGTTTGTTAGTAATCTGAAATAATTAAGTGGACATTCATTAGATGATGGAAATTATACCCATCTTGTTTTATCCATCGTTAGAATGCAGTCTAAGTAACTGTAAGTTCTAGGGGCCTTGACACACCTTGTACACGGTTCATTCAGGGATCAGGTTCTCTTGCAGCTACCCTTTTATGCAGCTAACCTAAGCAGGAATATATAGAGATGGGTCTGATTTGCCCAAATCAGGGTACTGAGTGTTTGGAAGGCACTTGTACAACCAAAATAGAGCTGGAAAAAAATTGGCAACCAAACCCCAGAACTCTGTTAACCTATGCCTATTCTAAATAGGGCCATTTTGGTGGGGATTTCTAGACTCTTGAAAAGTTAGGTGTATAGGAATTTATATTTAAATCCCACCCTTTTTTCTCACAAAAATGCTAAAACAAACCACACAATTCTTCTTCTGTACATTTTATCCTCATGAAAATCTATGGGGTAGGTTAGTTTGAAAGTCCATGACTCTAGTCACAAAATAAGTGTTATGGCCAAATGGAGCTTAGAACCTGGAACTCCTGAGTCTCGACATTGTGGGGCACTCTGAGTCCCTTAACACTCTATGCTATGCTGGCTTTCTTTATTTTACCATACTTATATCCCACATTTCCTCAGGGAGGTCCAAGCAACATACAGTGTTCCTCCCTTTCCATGTTATCCTTACAACAACCCTGTGAGGTAGATGAGGCTGAGAAAGTGTGATTGGCCCAAGTTTACCCAGTGAACTTTGTGGCCGAATGAAGATATAAACCACTTCTTCCTGGCTGTTAACGACATGTTGCAGTGATGATCTGAGTTAATAGCAATGCTGGAATTGAGAAATTATGTGGTAGTTGAGAAGACCCTTAGCTGCCGCATAGCCATTGTTTAAATATTTTTTTCTTTTTTTGACTTCATTGTACAGCCTCAGACTGGGCACTATGCCTACAGATTATCCAAACAAAAGGTTTATCCATCTATTAAGCCACTTGTTAAGTCTTAACTTTCAAATAAAGAGCATTATGGTGGGAACCTTGGGTGCACACAGTGGATTTAATCTTTTAATACTTTCAGTTTTCTTGTAGTGTGGCTGGCGAATAGCAGTCCTTTTATCCTGATAAGTCCTGCATGAGTACAGTGGCCATGACTAGAGGAACTTGATTGAAGGGCCAGTTCAGGTACATAGGTATGCTTAGCATGGGCCAGTGTTATGTCTGTGATGAGTAGCTGACATTATGGGACCTTAGAATATAGCTAATACTGCTTTAGCTTCAAGGTAAAGCAATGTGCTTTTAGTTGGAAGGAAAAAGAAAGCGCCGTGGTGTAGGAAGCTAACATGACAGTGGGCCATTTAATTAAATCTAAATATTTTAGTCTAGTGTGGGAAGCCAAAATTCAGACATACACACCAAAGCATTATTAGATACCTTACTTAGTCCAGCATAAAATGAAGAGCAGTATGGTCTTCTCATATCCAGCAAGTACAATACAGACTTAGATATTTTGCACCAAAATATGAAATTTATAGTGTGAGCATGAAAGAACTTAATCCAGGGAATGATAGATGTTCTCCTGTATAGTAGTAGTGAATTCCCTATATATATATTGTTTTGGTTTCATCTTTGTCCAGATGTGTTTCTTTAAGAAATTGGGGGAGGAGATGAATAATGTGAACCTTGACTTCAGCTACCAGTTGCTGCCAAGCTTCCCATTCCTCTTCCATATTAGGAGCCATCTAAAGAGTACTGCAAGAAAGAGCCCTGTATTCCATCACCTAATGCAACTGCAAAGAGAAGTGATGAGAGTGGGAATAGGAGCTAACACATGTCCACTGGCGGGCAGAGGTGGGCAGAATAATTGCCTGAAGAAGAGATGACAGGACCACTTGTATTTTGGTGGTATACTATGCATGAATTTGCTATGAGTGTGCAAAGACAAGAGATTTTGTTTGATTCAAGCTTCAAGGCAAAGTGTCACTAAAGAGGATAAAGTGAGTCCTAAAAGTGAAACAAGCATCCCTAAGGATATCAATCACACTTACAAAGTACTACATTTATACCACTGCTGTTTTACAGATTATATAAGGGTAGGCACTTTGTCCCTTTCAGCCAATTCCATATTTTGGTCTCATGAGCAAATAGCAGGAGAGGAAAACTTTTGGGTAGATTCCTCTTCACTACCATTAGATTTTGCTATTTTCACTTTTGTGTCCATCTGTTACATCCATTCTTATTTTGTTGAGCATTGTTCTATCTCTTGCTTTTACACTCTCAAGGCAGTAAAAGTAGATTATCATGGACAGTGTCCTTTCCACTTTTGGTGAATGTGGTAAGTCTTCCCCTTCCCCCAAAGGGGAGAGTTGGGGAATCATCCCTGCAGTTGAGCTGTGATTTGGAAACACACAGAATGCTTCCAAAGTACAGTGGGACTGGAGAGATGATCTACCTTTCTCCTGAGTTTGGGGCTAAGGAAAAGATGTGTGAAATAATCTTTAATTTCATGCTAGGTTGTAAGAAAGCACTCTAAGCTATTTTGAAGGACAATGTGACATTGGAAACAACCCTGCCACTCCTGCAGCAGGGGAACAGTAGTGGAAGCCACAGGTTTGGAGTACCTATGAAGGCTATTCAAAATTCCAGTCCCCCCCCCACCCGTTTTTTGAGAATCTCTTTTTCTTTCTTTTCCTGTAAACTGTTGTCTTCCTCTCTCCTCCAAATGTTTCTGTCTTGCTCTTTCTCTATGTTCTCCTTTGTGTACAGTCCTGGGTTATATGAATATATACGTCATCAGTACTGAATTTCACCCATAGTAAATATTATTAATATTATTAAATCTAATAAATATTTATTTTAATTTATCAATGGCTTATACAAATTGAGAAAACAATCATTTTACCACTTTTGAGCCACTCTGTATATGAAGAACAATTACAGTGTGATGTGCACAATTGTACTGCATTATATGATCTTGAGTGTGTACAAATTTTGATGTGGAAAAGTGAAGGAAAATGTCCACAAGCATGAAGGCTTTGAAGAATGCTAAGCAAAAACATTTGAGATAGTGTACAGGAATTTTCAGTTTTTACAGCTTTTAGCTATTACAGCTCAAGTTTGTTGTGAAGATGATGTGGTATGTATAAACTGTGGTTTTGGAGGAAAAATGAAGAGGAGGCTTCCAAGATCAGCTTTACTCTTGATGGTACTGTTTCTCATCCTTTAGTCTAAGACAGCTTTCTCCAACCTTCAGATTTTTGGGACTATAACTCCCTGTATTCCTGACCAGGTTGTTCTGGCTGGGGTTGATGGGACTTTTAACCCAAAATATCTGGAAAGTGTCATATTGACAAACATGGCTTTTAAGGAATTGACAAGATGACAATCTTCCTTCCTGCTGTTTCAAGTTCTCTAATTTAAACCAGGAGTGGGGAGAGAATATTACAAGAATTACAGGCTAGAAAGCTGGCTTTGTATAAACCATTAATTTAAACTGTTTCACTGGTGCTGATCCTCCTAATAGCATTTGGACCACCAGTGCAGAGACTGAGGCAGTACCAGTGTGTTCTGTGATTGTTAACTCTAGTCCTTTGGAAACAGTGTAATTGTTCCTTACTTACCTGTCAAGTCACTGGGGAAAAAAGGAGGAGGTGAGGTATATGACGTATCTCCAAATGCAAAGCTTCAGAATTACTTGAACTGCTACCTGATTTTCATTTCTGAGCCTCTAGAACAGGAGAAGGCAAAATGCTGCCGATGGGCTGTGCTGACTAAGGTTGAGGGCAGTTGTAGGCCAAAACTTCTGAAGGACCTTATGTTGTCAGTCCCTTCTGTAGATGGAACCTTTATATGTAGATTAGTCACTAGAAACAAGGAATGCCTTATGTTGGCTTCCTTCAATGCATGCTTCTATCCCTTGGTGAAGGGTTGAACATCTAGAATGTGATGCTTCAGCATTTCTGTCTCTGAAGTGCTCTTCCAGTGCCACCGTAGGGCCAGCTTTGAAGTCCGTTAAGTGTGAAGCAATTTGTCCTTACTAGTAAAACAAGTCCTGAATCTACACTTCCTTTATAGTGTTAAAAATGTTTTTGTCTTACATCAGATGTTAGGCGAATTGGCATTTTAAAAAGTTACTTCAGCAGCTGAGTATTCACAGTGCCTTGGGAATGTGCTTTTAACATCCCAGGGATCCTTACAGGACAGCAAACTCTTGGCTCAAAATGTTTGTTTCAGTATTCTTTGCCATGTGAATGGAACTTAAAAAGCCCTGGACAATTCATACATTTAGAGAGACTGGTGGATGGTCCAGCAGTTTGTAGACCAATCAAGCCTTTCATTTTGGAACAAAATAAAAATAAATAAAACAATCTGAAGTTTCTCTTTGTACCAAACTTCCTACCCAACTTTAATGTCTTGTATTTTGCCAGTAGTTGGTCACTTCAGTACAGAACTACATGTTTGGCATACAGCTGAGTTTGATAACCCAGGGTTCTGCTGATCATGCAATTCTGTCATCAGACTGACCTTTTGTAAATCTTCTATTTTGGCATTAGCTGTCATATGTAACCTTATCACTTAGTAACCAGTAACTATCATTTTCTTCAACATAGTTACTATAGTGTACTCTCCTTAAATGCACTTCTTACATTGAGCATGGAGTCACTGAAGAGCATGGAGCATTGGTTTCCTATCCAAAAAAATCCTTCAGTTGTTATAGTCCTGCCTTTCTAGTCCA